CCTGGGCAACACAGCGAGACTGTCTCAACAGAAAAAGGAATCACTAGAATTGTAGCACTGATTTCAAAGGGGATGTAGAGTAATCCCTTTATTTTCAGATGGGAAGCTGAGGCCCAGTGACCAACACTGACTAAATCTAGATGCTCTGATTGGGCAATGGGAGGATAGTCAATATCCAAGTCTCTCAACTGGCTCCTTATCCACTGCCACCCCATGCAATCTAAACCTTTGCCTGGAATATTGTTCTGTGCTCCTCACCAAACCCACCATTGTACTTTTTAAAATTGACAGCTTAAATACTTTAAGTTGTATAAATTTTCTCAGATATTTCTGTGATTAAATAAAAGGGTCATGAGAGCCTAACGTACCTAAGCACAGAGATACATCCATACCTAAGACGACCTTGATTGGTCATTCAATCTACATCTCACTACACCACTTTCTCTGCCTTCTAGAAGCTTGCCTTGAATTGTAAACTACCAATTTAATACTAGATTATATAAATATATTATGTAACTCTCTAATTTGCTTCATGGGGGCAAGTTGTCTTTCCAAATAAAACACCAGATCCCACAAAGCCCAACTTTAATTACCCATGGTACCTATCCCAGTGCTAGACACCCAGCAGGCAAGCCAACCAGTGCTCACTGTTTAGAAATTGGAGGAATTCAGAGGAGATATTAAAATAACAATTAGTTCTACAAACCAGAAGCGGGAGCCCCTCCCTGCTCCAAATCACGTGTTGGTAGGAAAGCAAAACAGCCAAGTGCAGCCATGGTCAAAGAAAAAAACTCAACCCACATTAAACATCATCACACATCAACCCTGCTGGTTTGCCTAAATTTGTATATAAAACATTAAAAAGATTTTTTTAAAAGACTTTTGGAGTAGGACAGGGCAGGGAGCATAAGAATAACAGTCAAATAATTTACTTTCTAAAAGGAGGGAGAGGAGAAGGGGCAAGAAACAATAAAGAAAGAGGAAGGGGGCAAATGGAATTCACAAGGAAGCCATGTGACTTGGGAGCTCACGGAAGGCAGCCCTGAGTTAGGAGAAATGAAGTGCTCCTTTCTTCTTCCCACCCCTCAGGGGGTGATCGTGAGCTAAACTGAACTACTCATTTGCAGAAGATTGGGTTGGTAGGGGAAGAGCACAGATGAGAGTAAATTAAGCCAGCTTGATTTTCTCTGGCTCTCTTTAAAATTCTTTAGTTTAAAAAAAAAAAAAAAAGACTCTAAATAATAGCATCAGCTGCTAATCTAAAATGTTATCTGCTGGTCCTAGCCCACCAGCCTGCTTTCCGGGTGTGTTGGGCTATAGAGTAAGGAAATGCAGAAGTGATAACAGTCTACTTAAAATTAGAAGGACTGGACTTAGAGATGGCGTAAACCTCAAGATCATGTCGTCTGGCGCAAAGACTTTGGATGGACAGGGATCCAGCTCTGGAGATGAGGCTAAGCAAGTTAACTCTCTTGCCCTAGCACAAGGCACGCATCCTTTACTTCATAAATTCTACCTAGAAGCCATATACAACTGGAGGATGAAGGGAAGCCTTCTTACCTCTCTGAGTCTGTACATGACAATTCTACCTGACTTTGAAGGTAATAGCTACTGTTGAGACACCCAGAGCACAAGGCATCATGACAATGTGAGCCTATCACCCTGAGCTGATAACACCCTAGGATAAAAATAGTGGCATAGGCTAAATTATGGAAGGTAAGCAGGTAAGCCCTGGGGTTGCACTATTTGGGTTCAAATCCCATCTCTACCACTTGATAACTGAACCACTTATTTAACTTCTCCAAGCTTCAAGTTCCTCATCAGTAAAACGAGAACAACATCATACACAGTGGTGAGAATCCCACAAGGGCCCTTCCAAACATTTATCATATTGCCTGGGAGGAACTAAGTGCTCAGTGAATGAATGTTAGCTAATGTTAGTCACACTCTACATTTTTCTATAGCTTTTTCTTAGATGCCTTCTGATCAAATTCTGATTCTGTACAATGCAAGCTTTGACTAATGGCCTCAATCTTGGTTGATATTTTTATGCTTCTACAAAAATAAAAGGCCCTTCATGTAATTTTATTTGATTAAAAGCACCCAGCATTACTACTAGTGTTACTATTACTACTTTCTACTACTATACCACCTGGCTTATGAAACATCTCCTTTTTTTCTTTCTTTCCTCTGCCACTCTTCCCTCTCTCAAGTTTGCATATGCAATCTTATCAACCAGGAATTTTACTTCCTTTGTAAAAACATAGAATATCCTTCAAATCCAATCTCTAGTCCTCTCTGGCTGTGTAACCTTGGGCAAGCTTTTTAACCTCTCTGAGACTCAGTTTACTTGTATGTAAAATGAGAATAACTATAAGGCTATTGTGAGGATTAAAGTGACACCCATGAAGTGCCTACACATGATGAACCCTTAGCAAGCATGAGCTATTTCTCAATTCTCACCATTATACAATGGATTTCTTTATTTGGGGCAGTATCAAATTTTCTCCCTGCATGAAAAAGTAGAGAAAATTATGTGTGCCAAGTAGCCTGTATGAAAACCTAAATATAGAAATAGTTTAGAATATTACAAAGAAAGGTTCACTTCTGCAAGGCTCATTATTCTGAACATCAGGACGATCGTGATGATAACAGCCCAATTTAAAGTCTGACATCCAGGTCCTCAACTGCTAATGCAGTTGGATTTGCTTGTTTTAAAAGAATATCTGCACAAATATTTTGGGAAACAGTTTACATGAGGACAGGGTCATAGCTGATTTGTGACATAGCTAATACCAAGAGCAGTCTGAAAGGAGGGACTGGACAACGAAGAAGCAGGCATCCTCCACCCTCAGCTCCTGGCTGGACCTACCCTGACTCCTGGGACAGAGTGAAGAGCTGCTCCTGGCACACACAAGGCAGTGGCAGTGGGGGGACAAAGGAGGGAGGAGGACAAAGGTATTGCATTAATGGGTTTTCCTTCCCATGACTTTCACCAGCTTTGTTATATAGAAACAGATCCTTTAAAGCAATTTGAATAAATCTAAGTTACATGTTAGCCTCCCTTTGCTATTCCTAAATCAGGTCAAGAAAGTAGGAAACTGAGAGGAAATGGAGGGACCTTGACTAGGGGCAAGGCAGAGGCGCAAATGAATGATTTCCTGATGTGTCCTTATTCCTTATTCAGTGGAGTCCACTGGGGCTAAAAAGGCATAGGTTTTACAGGAAGCTTCAGACGAACCCACCTTCTTCTCACAGAGTCAGTAAGATTTACCGCCAATTCTGAGCTCCACTTTGACCGCAATGACACGAAGCAAGGAGTCCGTATCATTTCTGCTCTTCCCATCTCCTAACTTCCAAGATACGCAACGGAAAGAAATGGAAAAGGTGGACGATACAGCCCACAAGACCTGGGACAGACTGTCCTTGTGAGAACTGCTGTCTCCAGCAGGATGAAGACCCTAGACTGGCAGCAAAACCTGCCATGGATTTGACGCTTCTAATTTACAACCCAATAGTTTCAACAAAAAACGGAGTACCATTGGCAAGGGGAACTAGTCCATCTTTCATGCCTGGAACGTTCCAACTTGCCTAACCATTCATTGGGTGGACTGAGACGCCCATCTCTGATTCGGCTTTATGAGAACTTTGATTCTCTGACCAAATGCATACCTCTTGTTGGCTGAGTGGAAAATACCAAGTCAGCAGCAGCAGGAGCTAGCAAGGGGCTTGCCTGAGTGGGTTACTGGCAGTTAAGCAATGTACAGAGAAGGCTTACAAAGAAGAGCAGCCTCTGTTCTGGAAAGGTAAACATACCCAACTATCACAGTCTTAACTTTCTGCTCATCTGTAGGGTCCCTCTAAAGAGAAAACACAAAGAAAATATCTAGATAGGCTAAACCATGGTGTCATGAGAGCATAGCTAGAAATGGAAATCTCTGTGTGGCCATATACAAATCACTTACATTGGGCAGCTGCTCTCTGGTTAAGTAATTATTTGTCTAGAAGCCTCAGTATCCTTATTAAGAAAAGAAGTATGCTAAGGGTATCTACCTCATAGTGCAGAAAGAAGGGTAAAATGATCTATCTTAAGGTTTAGCACATTGCCTAACGTGGTAAATCTCAGTAAGTTAGGACGACTACAAACTTACAAAGCAAATGGGATGAATGAACCTATGGTATCTTGTAACGCTAACATCGTTTTTATTCTAAACTTTGGTGAAGTGAAAGAGAAGGTGCCCTGAGCATGCTGGCTAAGAAATTGGGGCTCAGAACTGAGAACACAATGGCAGATTTGCAATGGCATCTATATAATAGGATGCACATGTTTTGTAATCTTGAGCTGATGCTGATGGTTGCCTGACAAGTCAACTGGTAGGTTAAAAGAACAATTACAGTGCTTGGACAGCACTGCACAATAAGAACATAGTCATTTTCACGGGCTTGCAGTCACACACGGAGAGGCCTGATAGTTGTAAATTCCTAGGGAGCCCTTAGTTCTTCTAGCTTCTCCCAGCAAACCACTCTCTCCAATGAATAGTCATCGAATATGTCAAGAACCACCTACACCTGGATTATGCTGCCATTGAATGGTGTTCCTTGAAGCTCAGGCTATAGTAGACTCTTTCTACAAAATAGCCACAGGTTACACCCTTGCTAAAGCTTGAATGGGTGTAATATACGTCTTGTGACTTTACATCTCCTCTTCAATTCTCAACATACAATAGGACCTCCACTCCTTGTCGAGCCCAAAAAGACAAATTGCAAAACAGAAGCTCTCCCACTGCCTATGGGCCAGAGAATGGAAGTCATTCCAGTGGTAACTGTTGCCTCCTCGTAAACCCAAACCATCTCTTCTAGTTTCCCCAAATTCTGTAGACTGAGGCTGGCCCACCCAGAGCAGCACCACTAAAGTCTACACATTCTATTAGAAATTCAAGTATAGGCAGTATCTTCAACTAGATCAAGCTATTAGATATTAATGTTCAGACAACACCTACCTCACTCCAGACCAGCATGGTACCGAATATGACCTGTAACCCATCAAAGAAATTGTCCCCTATGATGATCACAGTCGCGCCTCCCGTCGTCCATCCTTCACTCGGGCTGATGGCTTTGATACAGGGAGTAGCTGCTTTTCAACACACATGAAAAAGAGAAGGAGTCTGCTGTTAGAACCAAACTTTAATGATGAAGACTTGAGAAAAAGGAAAAAAAAAATCTTTTATCTTTTCACTAACAGAAAGTCCCTCAAGATCTCAGCATTTCCTAGCCACATTAGGACCTGAAACTTAAGGGTGCAACTACAGTTTTTAAAAGCATTCTTTCCATTGTTTCTATGAAGATACACATATTTTACCCAAATCTTTATCAAACCTGAAACTTTATGAAATAAAACACAAAGTAAATTTTAATTTGTAAATGCTAAGAATTTTTTTTTATTAAAAATGGGTGACTTTCTGGAATATATTGGAAACCTTACAGAATTGCTTCATAGTTAAATATATCTCCTGAAAAGAAAACTTACATATTTTCAGATAAACATTGCTATCCAATAGGAAGCTAAGAAAGAGAGGAGCCTGTAGCAGGAAATGATTCTTGCTCCATGCCCTCTGTCTGAACACTAACATAGCAACATGTCTCATCAAAAATCATTAAGATTTGTTTTTTCAAATAAATGTCATAGATCCCATTTTACAGATTCGAAGAATGCAGGTCACTTGGGGTGAATTATGTAACCAAAGAGCTGAGTCAGGGCTCAGCCACAGAGTTTTCCATGACCTTTGCTTTGCAGTCTTTCCCAGGCATAAAACCCTAGAATTGACTTTTTCAAAATTTCATCTCTCTTTTCTTTCCATTATAAATGGTCCTTGGAGATGGGAAATAATTTGTAAATACTGTGATTCCAAATAGACTGGAGGTGGTTTGTTTAATGAGCATGGCATACTTTCAACAGAATTGCTGGGCATAAATGTAATTGTTGGATTGTTTTTAAAATCTCTCAGAGGGCACCTTCCTGCCACTGAGGATTTTTAACTCCACAATGTCATGCTTCTGTTCTCATGATTACTTTTATGAAGAACAACAAAGCAAAATCCTAAAGCAAGGGAGATAGTGTTCAAGGAGAGAAAATGGGACCCTCATCTTTAATAAAAAGTGTATTAAGTATCCAAGGCTGACTTTCCGAGCATTGAAGCCAATGAGAGCACTAGTTAATTTTAACAGGAAAAAAACTGGCAAAAAATATTTGGACTTTGTCAAATTTGGCAAAATGTCATGCTTTAACTTTTGCAAGAAGGAAAGAAAATATTAAGTCCAGCCCGGTGGGACCATTGCTCACGTGCCACCACACAAACAAGTAGAATGGGTTTGATTTTGATTCAAATTAATCTTAAAAATTTGCACAGAGAATCTGGAAATATCCAAACTAAACATTTCATGTTGGCTGAACTCATAGCAATGCATTGACAACTAAAACTCAGCAGTTCAGATGATTTTTCTCTCCTCTACTTTCTCGCAAAAACAAAATAATTAATCAAGAAGATGTAAATGATTCATAACTTGACTTGAAATTTCTTGTCTGATTTTTTAACATACATAGAGGTTGTGATCAGTGTTCCACAAGCAAAGGGCTTTGTCTTAAACAAAAATGACCTTTAAAAGTACAAATGTTTAAATGCATGATTAAGTACTCCCAAAGCAGCGGTATGTATGATTTGAAGCAAGTTGTAAGAGAAATAAACGATATTTAACAACTATATAAAGTTCTTAAAATATAAGCAGTTTGGAAACATTTTGTTAAGGTCTCCAAAGATCAATTCTTAATTTATAACTCAGTCTACTTAGTTGTTAGGATGGAGTACAAAAGGTGTTACTATATCCTTGGTACTTCTGAGAAGGACAGGGTATCTGTTTACCTGGATTGGTCTTGAGAGTCCTGCCTGAGTCAAAGTATGGAATCCAACGGGGTCATTAATTGCTGACCCTGTGATTACCCACACAGATTGCAAAATGGTCTTGGTGCTTACTATCAGTTTTAGGTTTGGAATTTCTGTTAATTTTTATTTTTTTAAATCACACATGTGTATTTCTTTAGCTAAATATGGTCTCCTGCAGGCTTTCTCTTCATTGCACAAAGGGAGGTGGAAGGCGGGTGTTTATATGTCTTTGAGAAACCCTCCTACAGGAAAGGCCTTATAATAGCATGGGCAAGACCTGCTGGTTCTGAACTTGACCCAGTCCCTCTTTTTTTCGCTTGTTATATGTAGGATACAGAAGTCATATGGGTGTATATGCATGTGTGTGTGTGTGTGTGTGTGTGTGTGTGTGTGTGTGTGTGCGCGCGCGCTTTCAGACACTTCCCAAGGAAAGTTGCAATGTTTTCAAATACTGTGAGCAATTTTCCAGAAAGAGAGCTATCTGTCAACAACTCAGAAGAAAGAAAAAGCATCAAGCTTCTAGAGATAACCAGGTGAGGAAACAATATTTGACACCATCTTCTTAGTTTTAGAGAAATAAAGCCTTAAGGGAAGTACCCCGGGAAGAATGACACACCCCTCAGTCCATCCTACCTCTACACACAGGACCATCCACTATCCTGCTTCAAGACTATATGCCACTCTTGGAGCAGGTAAGTCATTCAGACCTTTCTAAGTTTAGACCTCTAAGGGTTCCAAAGTTCCTCCTATTCATCTGTTATAACATATTAGTCTTGAGGGGAAGCTTTGTGACACCTCCCCACTGGCAAGTTTGAAAAATATGTAAAGGAATCATGAGCTATCCCAGAGAGAGAGGATGAGGAGGGGAAGCTAGTAGCATTTAGTAACTGGAGGTCAAACCAGGTGTAGTGGCTCACACCTGTAAACCCAGCACTTTGGAAGGCTGAGATGAGAGGATCTCTTGAGGCCAAGAGTTCAAGCCTGGCCTAGGTAACATAGTAAGACCTTGTCTCTATGAAAGGTTTTTTTAAAAACTACCAGATGCAAGCCTGTCATCCTAGCTACTGGGGATGCTGAGGCAGAAGGACTGCTTGAACCCAGGAGTTCAAGGCTGCAGCGAACTATGAGTGCACCACTGTACTCCGCCTGGGTGAGACTCTGTCTCTCAAAAATAAATAAATGAATGAATGAATGCTAAGTATCCAACAATGCATGAATGAATGGGATAGTCCCCATAAATGAAGAACCCCAAAATGTCAATAATGCAACATGGAAAACACTATGTGCACGAATAATGCAACACAGAAAACACTGTGTGCAAAAGAGAATCAGGTCCAAGAGCTATTGCTAAGAATTCACAGACCCATGTAGACCAAGGCGAGACATTCAAATGAATACAGCAGCTCAGACTCTCAGAACAAGCATGAGATGAATGGCCACTGACCCTCCACATCTGGAAAGCAATGGGAAATGATGAGGGTGTCAGCGAATTGCATGTGCCCCAGGGAAAGGTGACAGCACCGCTCAGCTTCAGCCTTTGGTGGCCCCACACGCATGCAGGCTTAGTGTGGTCTGGGTTTCTGGTCATCTTTCCAAAGAAGCCAGGAAGCCATATTTTTGTATGAAATTTTTCAATCTTTAAATGTTGGAAACTAATTCAATATATTTTTTAACGTGTAGGCCAAACAAAATGTTTGTGGGCTGGCTTTAACTCACAGGCTGCTATTTTACACTTTAACCCTGGTCACAACACAACTGCCAGGCTAAAAACAGACCTGGAAATACTTGCAATTGTGGCCAAAATTATAGGTACCCAAATGTTCATTGCAGTATTGACAGCAAAAAATTCAGATGTCTAGGTCCCCCCAACAGGAGAGTGGTTAAAGAAATTATGGTATATTCATAGTATAGAATACTAGGAGTGTCATTCAAATACACAAAAGAATTCTATTAACTGATATGGAGAGATTTCAAAATACGTTAGCAAGTCAAGAAAAAAAAAAACAATTTGCAAACTAAAGAACAGTGTAATTAAGTTTATTTTGAATGATATCTGTGAGCCTGTATATGCTCTAGTATGTGTACGTATGCAGTTCTATGTGAACAGGTATGATGGACAAAGGCCTGGAAGGAAGGATATGCATAACTGTCCCCAGAGGATCCTTATACGAGGGACTAGACAGGGGTTGACAGAAAAGAAAGACTATTAACATTTATTCCCTACGTATCTGTATGATTTAGATTTTTTCAATGTGTACAAATTAAGATACTATGTAATAAAAATAAAAAATTAAGTTGCAGCAGAACATTTAATTTTATGAGAGAGAACAGTTGTACTTTTCAGAGCAAAATGACATTTTAAAAAAGCAAAATAAGACAAACAAACAAAACAGCTGCGCTGACCCTGAGCCTCGCCGTCTCTCCTCGTGTTGGACATGTTTTCTCTAAAAACGCTCAGAGTACATCCAAAGCGGCCAAGGACTTGTTTCTTACATTTGGGATACCCAGAGAAAAACAGAGGGAAGACAGGGAAAAATCACTTTTAATAGTCACAGTGGATGGATTCAGTGGAATTTGACTGTGAAAAGATTTATGAAAGAATTCAATTCAGCACAGGGATGTGATAATCAATAAAATTCTATCTCCAAGAAAATATTATGGAATGTGGGGGTAGTATTTGAATACAAAACCACTTGTACCAGCAAATTCTTGATTTAATTAATACAAGATTCTTTCTTCCTCCCCAGTGAATTTTCACACTCTATCCAAAAGGCCAGTAAGCCAATTTCTGGTTTTAAATCTCATTAAAAATAAAAGTTTAGGGTTGAGGGGGGTGGGATCCACCTCTTTTTTTAAAATCCCTTCCCCCATCCCTCACCAGCCACGAAAGTAGAGATTTTCCTTCCCTCAAACTATGACAATAACATGATTACCCTACCACAGTTTAGCATAATGGCTCTGAAATGCTCGTGGCACATTGCAGAGTTAAAGTGGAAATTATTAGGTAGCTCTTCTTTGTTATAATAATGATCACTCCACAAATAAAAGCTCTTCTCCCAAAGGTACTGCAAGGCACAAAATGCTAATTCTGAAGATTATGTGTGTGCTTTTATTAAATATTACTATGCCCTGCCTGTTTGAGGGCTTCTCTGCTCTGATTGTTTTATGAGTACCATGTTAATGTCATTCCCATCTT